TTTTTATTCAACTTCCTTTTTTATTTAATTTCCAAATAGATCGTTAAGGCATAGTGGTTTCTTGAATGTACTTCCATTTTTAATTTTCTGTAACTTCCATTTTTATTTTTATTCCACTTCCATTTTTATTCAAGTTATTTTTCTATTCAACTTCCTTTTTTATTTAATTTCCAAATAGAACGTTAAGGTATAGTGGTTTCTTGAATGAACTTCCATTTTCAATTTTCTGCAACTTTAATTTCTATTTTTATTCAACTTCCATTTTTATTCAATTAACTTTTCTATTAAACCTTGTTTTTTTATTTAATTTCCAAATAGATCGTTAAGGTATAGTGGTTTCTGGATTGAAATTCCAATTTTAATTTTATGCAACTTTCATTTTTATTTTTATTCAGTTTCTATTTTTATACAATTTAAATTTCTATTAAACTTCCTTTCTTATTTAATTTCGAAATAGATCGTTAAGGTATAGTGGTTTCTTTAATGAACTTCCATTTTTAATTTTCTGCAACTTCCATTTTTAGTTTTATTCGACTTCCATTTTTATTCAAGTTATTTTTCTATTCAACTTCCTTTTTTATTTAATTTCCAAATAGATCGTTATGGTATAGTGGTTTCTAGAATGAACTTCCATTTTTAATTTTATGCAACTTTCATTTTTGTTTTTATTCAACTTCAATCTTTATTCAATTTCCTTTTCGATTCAACTTCCTTTCTTATTTAATTTCCAAATAGATCGTAAAGGTATAGTGGTTTCTTGAATGAACTTCCATTTTTAATTTTCTGCAACTTTCATATTTATTTTTATTCAACTTCCATTTTCATTCAATTTACTTTTCTTTTCAGCTTCCTTTTTTTATATAAGTTTCAAATAGATCGTTAACGTATAGTGGTTTCCTGAATGAACTTCCATTTCTAATTTTCTGCAACTTCTATTTTTATTTTTTTTCAACTTCCATTTTTATTCAAGTTTTTTTTCAATTCAACTTCATTTTTTATTTAATTTCCAAATAGATCGTTAAGGTATAGTGGTTTCTGGAATGAACTTCCATTTTTAATTTGATGCAACTTTCATTTTTGTTTTCTTTCAACTGCAATTTTTATTCAATTTCCTTTTCGATTCAACTTCCTTTCTTATTTAATTTCCAAATAGATCGTAAAGGTATAGTGGTTTCCTGAGTGAACTTCCATTTTTAATTTTCTGCAACTTTCATCTTTATTTTTATTCAACTTCCATTTTCATTCAAGTTACTTTTCTATTCAACTTCCTTTTTTATTTAATTTCCAAATAGATCGTTAAGGCATAGTGGTTTCCTGAATGAACTTCCATTTTTAATTTTCTGCAACTTCTATTTTTATTTTTTTTCAACTTCCATTTTTATTCAAGTTTTTTTTCTATTCAACTTCCTTTTTTATTTAATTTCCAAATAGATCGTTAAGGTATAGTGGTTTCTGGAACAAACTTCCATTTGTAATTTTATGCAACTTTCATTTTCATTCTTATTCAACTTCCATTTCTATTCAATTTCTTTTTCGATTCAACTTCCCTTTTTATTTAAGTTCCAAATAGATTGTTAAGGTATGGTGGATTCTTGAATGAACTTCCATTTTTTATTTTCTGCATCTTTCATTTTTATTTTTATTCAACTTCCATTTTTATTCAATTTACTTTTCTATTCAACTTCCTTTTTTATTTAATTTCCAAATAGATCGTTAAGGTATAGTGGTTTCTTGAATGAACTTCCATTTTTAATTTTCTGCAACTTCCATTTTTATTTTTATTCAACTTCCATTTTTATTCTATTTCCTTTTCGATTCCACTTCCTTTTTTATTTAATTTCCAAATAGATCGTTAAGGTATAGTGGTTTCTTGAATGAACTTCCATTTTTATTTTTATGCAACCATCATTTTTCTTTTTATTCAATTTCCATTTTTATTCAATTTCATTTTCGATTCAACTTCCCTTTTTATTTAATTTCCAAATAGATCGTTATGGTATAGTGGTTTCTTGAATGAACTTCCATTTTTAATTTTCTACAACTTTCATTTTTATTTTTATTCAACTTCCATTTTTATTCCATTTACTTTTCTATTGAACTTCATTTTTTATTTAATTTCCAAATAGATCGTTAAGGTATAGTGGTTTCTCGAATAAACTTCCATTTTTAATTTTCTGCAATTTCCATTTTTATTTTTATTCAAGTTACTTTTCTTTTCAACATATTTTTTTTATTTAATTTCCAAGTAGATCGTTAAGGTATAGTGGTTTCTGGAACGAAATTCCATTTTTAATTTTATACAATCATCATTTTTCTTTTTATTCAACTTCCATTTTTATTCAATTTCCTTTTCGATTTAACTACCTTTTTTATTTAATTTCCAAATAGATCGTTATGGTATAGTGGTTTCTGGAATGAACTTCTATTTTTAATTTTCTATAACTTCTATTTTTATTTTTATTCAACTTCTATTTTTATTGAAGTTACTTTTCTATTAAACTTCGTTTTTTGTTTAATTTGCAAATAGATCGTTACGGTATAGCGGTTTTTGCAATGAACTTCCATTTTTAATTTTATGCAGCTTTCATTTTTTTTTTATTCAACTTCCACTTTTATTCAAGTTATTTTTCTATTCAACTTCCTTTTTTATTCAATTTCCAAATAGATCGTTAAGATATAGTGGTTTTTGGAATGAACTTTCATTTTTAATTTTCTGCAACTTCCATTTTTATTTTTATTCAACTTCCATTTTTATTCACGTTACTTTTCGATTCACCTTTTTTTTTATTTTATTTCAAAATAGATCGTTAAGAAATAGTGGTTTCTTGAATGTACTTCCATTTTTAATTTTCTGCAACTTCTTTTTTATTTTTATTCTACTTCCATTTTTATTGAAGTTACTTTTCTATTCAACTTCCTTATTATTTAATTTCCAAATAGATCGTTATGGTATAGTGGTTTCTTTAATGAACTTCCATTTTTAATTTTATGCAACTTTCATTTTTGTTTTTATTCAACTTCAATCTTTATTCAATTTCCTTTTCGATTCAACTTCCTTTCTTATTTAATTTCCAAATAGATCGTAAAGGTATAGTGGTTTCTTGAATGAACTTCCATTTTTAATTTTCTGCAACTTTCATATTTATTTTTATTCAACTTCCATTTTCATTCAATTTACTTTTCTTTTCAGCTTCCTTTTTTTATATAAGTTTCAAATAGATCGTTAACGTATAGTGGTTTCCTGAATGAACTTCCATTTCTAATTTTCTGCAACTTCTATTTTTATTTTTTTTCAACTTCCATTTTTATTCAAGTTTTTTTTCTATTCAACTTCCTTTTTTATTTAATTTCCAAATAGATCGTTAAGGTATAGTGGTTTCTTGAAAGAACTTCCAATTTTAATTTTCTGCAACTTCCATTTTATTGCTATTCAACTTCCTTTTTTATTCAAGTATTTTTTTTTTGTTCAACTTCCTTTTTTATCTAATTTCCAAATAGGTCGTTAAGGTATAGTGGTTTCTTGAATACTCTTCCAATTTTTATTTTATGCAACTTCCATTTTTATTTCTACTCAACTTCTTTTTTTATTCAAGTTTCTTTTCTATTCAACTTCCTTTTTTATTTAATTTCTCGTCACCGTTTCAGACCAAACACATCTAATCCTTCAGCCCCCGTGTCGGATCGTTGATGAAATACTTAACCATGTTCGCTCGCAACACACTGCAGTTACTACCTTGCAATGTTCGCTCCACGTCGCCACGATACACATACTGTCGCATTATCCCACACACTATCACCCCACAATCAAGCCTGCACATGAAATACGCACATTTAATCAGTGCCACTCATAACAGCATTGTCATCATTACAGTTCCCTTACATTTACAACAACACTGTTACTTACGTGTCTGGTTTTTGCTGTGGACACTTAGTTACAGCCTCTAATGGATGCCTGAAATTTGCCTCAATGCTCTGCTCATCCAGTCCGAACTGACGTAACGATTGCTTCATAACATCTGACACACGTTCTTTCTGTAATTCAATAAAATTAAAAAATTAAACCACCACAAAAACAAATCACCAACCATCGTCTACACAACCACAACCAATTTACAGAACAAACATACTGGTAACACTTATTTACCAGCAGAACAGCTTCGGTGTGGTGCACATCAGTCCTATCCCCACGTTGCCTCATCGGGTTATAATGCTTCCAACTACCATCTTCAGTGTCGTACACTACAAGCGTCCAGTGCCCAAGATGACACATTGGAAAATGCATGAAACGAAACTCGCTCCCTGCAGACACATTCTTCCGGATATAATTTCCTATTGAACGCACGTCATTACTTTTCACCACGTCCTGCAAATACATCCTTGTCATCCAACATTACTACACCACCCCAACACCAACAACAAAAAACAAATAAATAAATAAACCACAAACTCACCAGGCACACACTACTGAAAAAATATGACTTGTCCACCAACTCATTGTCACCATACATCCTCAACTGGTCGGTCTTCAACAACTCCACGTACGCATCAACAACCTACCAACCACCATAACCAATTTTCTGAATAATGCTGTACTAACTACATAATTGTCATGATGCCACCGTTTAAAACGAAATTAACCACAAATATATGAATAGGGAATACAACATTAAAACCCCTATATGTAAAAACTCACATTCCCACGCATGGAGCTCTGTCGTACAAGGCTTTTCACATCACTGAAATAAACCACAACGCCATTCATATTGTCTTCCCACATGACCGCCCTGTACATAGTACTAACGTAAATTATACAAATTTACAATTGAATGCAAACAACACAAATAACACTCAAAATAAATACGTACCCATCACCATGCCGCTCATATGCTTTGGTGATTCTGGCATTCTCATCCATTGTCATCATCTTCCAAACCCCCAACCGGTTATTCA